ATTTTTATGGTACCATCTGCAAGTGTGTCTGTTGAGTACAGTTTTTCGATCATGAAGCAAGTTGATACATTTTCAAGGAACACTCAATCAGAAGAAAGATTGTCGTCATTAGCATTACGCAACTTTCAATAGAAAAAAGAGCTTTTAAATACTTTGATGGAATCAATAACAAGCAAGTTTTATGATAAAATATGATGATATAAGCAAATTTTGTAGACAAAGAAACAAATTTAGTAAAACAAGAATCTATAATTTGCACAACTGAATACAGGAACTTCTTTTATAGGATGTCAGCTATACAATCTGTATCCCTTACATGAATACACAATAATACCATAATTGACAATAAGAAAAAAGATATAAATTGAAATATCACGACAATCGATTCTTAATTAATATTTTACAAAAGACAGATACAAATATCTATGAATTTCTTACAACTACCTTATAACTAAGTATTATAAATTTAAGAGAATAGAGAGATTTAGAGCAAGGAAGAAGGTAGAAGATAGAAAAAAGACATGGGTACCCAAGATTATCGGTAGTGCTCTCGATGCATTACATCAAAAGGCCGAACCACTTTCTAATTAAGATGAATATTAGCTTAGTTTACCAAACCTTATATTAAGTCAAATACACTGGGACAAAAATAGTACTCTTCACTTTCACTATCAGGAATCTACTTCTTTCTCCAATTCCTTTGTCTTCTCCACGAGGTGCCAACTTGCTGGAGAGCTTTGTTCACACATCCCTTCTCATCTGATTCCACCCAAATAATAATCTCCTGGTCTATAGCCTACCCTGAGGGTCGCATACCGTCCCATTGTTCTTAAGGGACACCTGCTGTTAAGCTGTTAAGAACGAGTTGAAAGGAAGTTCCAGAAGGAAAGATAATAGCAATAGAAATGAGGGAAGGGAAATATAATATTCTAAAATAAAATGAATTAAAACTATACAATAATGGCATGTAGCCATAAAAGTAATTAATAACTTTGCAGAAAAAAATTTCCAAATATAGTTAGTTTATAAAAAACTAGCTTACTCGTCGCGCATTGCTGCGATCTCAGAAGAAAGGAAATTCAAGCAAACTCGTTATGATAAAATTCAATTTACATTTTATTATTTTTATTGAAACTTATTATTATTATTCATTTTCATCGGAAAAACATTTCAAAGTGTCGTTTCAATTCTATTTATTTATTGGAGTGTTTGTGGATACACGATATTTTTTGTTTTTCCGTCTGGTGCGTACACGAATAAATCAGAAGGTTTTCCGACGCGTGAGCCGGCCACATACAGTTGTCCATGCGAGAAGCACGGATTCTCCAAATTTAGCCCACACACTCGCAGCGATTGTCAGAAGTGCGATATTCCCCATTTTTATATATATTTTTAAATCCTTTATAATTTTAATTATTTAATTGCTCCTTCCTCTCTTCCTTGGCATGTTGTGAAATTTCTGATAGTTGGATAATAAACCGTTTTATTGTAATTTGTCTTTTTAAATTATTTTGAGTCGATATTAAAATTTGGAAAAGGGGGATACCTAGATCGGTAAAATAGGCGAATTTCTTCCTACAACTTCGGTTGTTGTTCGGGGTACAGTTAAGGTTTTAACGAAGTTCGAGCGAATACATAATTAGCAAAAAAAAGTTGAAATAAAGTGATTAAACAAAAATTATTACAAATATCGTAAATAACAGTTCACAAATGCATATATAGAGATATTTTTTGAAGGGGGGAAATGGTCTTCACAATTTGAAATCGATCGAACACACTGTGCGCGAATGCTCGTGTAAACGCGCGCCATCTATCGTAGGATAAATGTACTTCGCGGGAGTGTATTAAAAAATTAAAAAACTTTTCAAAGCTTCATGGCAATCGTACTATGCCAGAAACCTGCACAGGAGTATATTAAACAACTTCCCAAAGTTTCACGGCAATCGGATAAATGGCGTGGTAATGCATGAAGGACATAAGACAGACACACAGACAGACATACATTCATTTTTTATATATATAGATAATAAAATCAAGTTTTTATATCTTTGTTTCGTGTCAATTATCTATTTTAGAATTAAAATAAATAAACTGATTATTTTTGTCATTTCCAGTATTTGTTTAAAATTTTTATGGAAACACAGCTTCCCTATCATTAAATGTTACGGCACACCACTAAATTATAGTATAGTACTGAATTCTGATAAAAACTTTAATACAGATTATAAAAGTAAACAAATAATAATAATAAATTAACATAAACTATATCCTTTATAATATACAGTACTTTAATATGGAGTAATGTATTAACATTGAATGATAGACCATTAAAATACAAGATACATGTACGATAAAAGCAAGCTGTTTGCAGTGGGATTCATCTGCAAACAGCTTGCTTTTATCTCACAGTAATGTAATGTACTGTACAATATTAAATAGAATTGTTTAATGTCCTTAGATGGAACAAATATGTTTATGAAATAGTAGTAAAGGTTTTATTTTAACAGAATTCAAAAGACAAATTTATTAGACATAAGGCACTAAATATGTGTCCAAGTGTCAAAGAAAAGTGTTAATAAGAACACCACCTTATACATCAGGCTCATTGATATTTTTCTTCATTGAGTGTTGTGAATGATATAGATCTATCATTACTGATTTACATATTTATATTTTTACAAAATACAGTTAGATTGTATATAAAATTATTGAACAAATATACAATTGTGTTTTTCTTATTAAAAGCAATGAACAAAGCTGGAACTGTGATTAACCTGAAAATCTCAATACCATCCTTGCATTTCCAGCAAACACGTTCTTAAGAACACAAGCATTTTTTGCATATTTCATAAGCCTGCATCAGGTTTCACACACTAGCATACTTAAAGGAGTCAAAAATTACAGATTTATGAATATTTTTGAAGTTCTTTATTTCCTCTTCAGATTAATTCAAAATGTTCTTTACTCTTTACAACTGAATACAACTTAAAATGCTACAAATGTGTCCTAATTAAATTATGTGTGATGTTATTTTATAAAGAATTGTGGATTGATATGTATTGATTTTTTTCATTATATATTTTATAACATCCAAACCTAGTTTAATGTTAATGTTGACCCATTATACCTTTAACTACTATGAGTTGGATGTTAAAAAAATGTAAATAAAACAATCATTACATATCAACCTATAATTCTTTGAAAGAAATCATATGTAATTTAATAGAAAGTTATGAACATGTTCAAGTTTGAAGTTGCATTTGAAAAAAATGATAATTTGAATTAGATATGAAGAGTAAAAATAAAGAACTTTGAAAACATTCATCAATATATAATTCATCAAATTTTTGAGTAAATTTGATATTTTAACAAGTTGATAAAATTAATCAGTTAAAGAAATAAAATTGGCTTTTAAATTACTATATTAGTTCATTTTTTATAAAGTAGTAAGAAAAATTTAATTTTTTATCTTAATATATATAATAACATCTTAATAGCTCTGGAAGTGAAGATTTGATGGAGATCCGGGTAACATAATTGGCAATGCTTCTGCATGGTTTGCAGGAGTTGCAGATTTGATTCCTACTCCAGGCTAATTTTTTTCTTCCAGAAATTTAAAATTAAAATTCAATTTATTATAGTTCTCTGTCTTGATAATTAGAAACTAAAAAACACATTCAAACTCAATTTCAGGAATCAATTAAAAATTAATGGTAAATGATATAAGTTATTTAAATATTCATGTAAATAAATTTTTTTAACTTATTCAAATGTGCTTTTTAGGAGAATATTTTTTAGTTTTTAATTATGAAAATGCAGAATAAACATGTCAGCTTTGTAATTAGATCTATATAAACATTAACTTGCAAACCTTACTGAATCTCTTTGATATTCAATAAAGGAGCAACATTTTTATGATGCCAAAAAATGACAGATTCAAACCCTGTTGTACTATTCAAACAGTAAAGCATTCTACTATTGGGAGTATGTTGGCTGCATATTGTTGAAGGTAAAATGAATGCTATTCAATATATCCATGTACTAAAGACCAAAATTATTATTTCATATGTTGACATGTTTACAAATAGCAATTTCATCTTCCAGGATGATAATGTACTGTACTGTCAGGCATGTGATTAGTTTTTAAATTGGTCTGGAGATTGCAATGATATACACAATCACCAATGTTAATCTCATTGAAACTTTGGGATGAAATTTAAAATGCAAAGAATCCAACAAATAAAGTACAGTTAATTGAAACTATAATTTCATACTGACATCAATCTAACTAATTTCAATCTAACATCAGAGGATGAGCTTGAAAAGCTTGAGTAGTATACCTAGATGTGCTTAGTAATTAAAAGTAAATGTTTCCCAATTAAATATTAATTGTCTGTTTGTCTTCAAACACATCTAATATTCATTTACTACATTTAAAAGCTTTAATGAGTTTATTTTGTATATATATATATTTTTTCATCTGACTTATTTTCTTATAGTTTACAGGAAATAAAAAAATGTTAGCTTTGCAGTTTTTTTTCTGTCTTGTCACCATGAATGTAGAACAATGCTGTTATTTTAATTCTGTTTAAAGCTCCTTTAAAGATACACCTTTTAAAGAAACACCTTTGTAAGGAATTAATTCCTTACAAAGGTGCCTTCAGAATGATATATTATCTATCATGTTTGTTGTTGGCATTTCTTTTCAAAATCAGTTCATAATCTAAAAATACCTGTTTATATCAGGTATTGCATGATTTTTGCACCAAACTATATATTTTGTAGTCAAAGTAATAACTAATAAATTGTTTTAATCATTTTTTTTTTAATTTTAAACACTGTTCATCTTTCTTTGGTTTTTATTTAATATATTTACATTTTTCTTATATTATTTTAATGGAATTTTTATATTTTATTTTTTTACCTAATAGAACATCAACAATTTAATGTGATTATTAGCTAGTTTGCTTATGATAAATATTTGTTCTTTTTTCTTACAGATTCTTTTAATTAATGCATTGAAAAGATTAGGCTATTAATTAGTGATCAAACTATGAGGAGAATTACAGAAATTTACAGTATAATTGCTGAACAGTAACTGAGTACATTCTGTGAGTAAATAGATTTTGTTTAATCATAATCATCAGTGGCGTGTCGTGACATTTGATAGTAAGAAAGATGTGTTTCTGTAAGAAGCCAACTTCCAGGGGCAATCAGTTAATTGCACGTCAGTAATGGTCAAGGGTCCATTCATATCATATGTTCAATAAGCCAGTAAAAACCGTAGACTTCTAAATGTATTTTTCATATCACAATTACATTCTGAATCACTAGCCACGATATAAGGGCTAAAATTATAAATAAAATAATAAAAACTTACTTGATGAAATAAAATGTGTGGTGGATATACAGTACATACCTGGTACAAAATATTCTTCAATTATATTAATATACTTTTAAAGAAAATTATAATTAAATATAGCTTTGTAAAGAAACGTACATAAAAATAACATAAAATCTTCTTTACTTTTTAAATCTTAAAACAATCCACTTATTCAAATAGCTCCCTATGAGTGACTAATGGATAGAATCAGAGACGGTCCTGGTAGGTGCATGCACGCGGGCTGCCAAATCCCAAGGATGCCAATACCGGTCAACATCAAATGCCTCTTTTGTCGCATCATTAGTATACTTCAAAGGACACGACAGGGTTGTTGTACATTTTAAACATTTCTCACCATAGCTGTAAAAATCTAAATACCAGGTTGTTCAATAAGTTTTGTTGTTCGATAAGAGGTGGCGCTATTAGGAGCGTCACATTATTACTATATAAATAGTACTACTATTTCATAAACACGTGTCAAGTTTCAAGTAGATCCGTCAACTCATTGTATATTTGCAGCTGTTCAAAGTCGACGTGTCATTGTATTTTTTTACAATGGAAAAAATCGAATATCATTCAGTGATAAAATTCTTATTTTTGGAAGGTGTAGCACCAAAACAAATTCATGAACGATTGTTAAAAGTGTATAAGGACTCTTCACCTTCAATCAGAACTGTAGAAAGATGGGTTGCTGAATTTAAGCGTGGTCGTACGAGTCTTGAAGACGATCCACGTGAAGGGCGTCCAAAAAGTGCATCAACACCAGAAATCGTAGCAAAAATACAGCATATGGTTTTGGAAGATCGTCGATTAACCGAGAGAGATTTAGTAGAAGCCCTAGGGATTTCGTTAGGCAGTGTGAGCAATATTTTGGCTGAAGTTTTGGGTTACAGAAAGCTGTGTGCACAATGGGTGCCGCATTCGCTAACTATGGAACAAAAACACATTCGAATGCAACTTTCTCAGCAACATTTGGAGCGTTTTAGAAAGGATAAAAAGGATTTTGTGCGTCGTTTCATCACTATGGATGAGACATGGGTCTACCACCATGATCCTGAATCAAAACAAGAGGCTAAGGAGTGGTGTGAACCCGGTACTTCGGCTCCGAAGCGTGTTAGGGTCCAGAAATCGGCCAAGAAGGTGTTAGCATCAGTTTTTTGGGATGCAAAAGGAATTTTGTTTGTGGATTACCTCCAAACTGGTAAAACAATAAACTCAGATTATTATTGTAACCTTTTGGACCAGCTAGATGTAAAAATTCGTGAGAAAAGACCTGGTTTAAAAAAGAAAAAAATCATTTTTCATCAAGACAATGCCCCCCTCTCACACAGCTCAAAAAGCCATTGCGAAAATCAGTAAATTAAAATACGAATTGTTGCAACATCCTCCCTATTCGCCAGATTTAGCTCCCTCTGACTTTTGGCTGTTCTCACATCTAAAAAAAATTCATACGTGGGAAACGATTTTCATCAAACGAAGAGGTAATAGCAGCTGTGGAAGCGTATTTCAACAGTCTTCCAGATTCTCACTTTAGGGATGGAATCCATAAATTAGAAGATCACTGGAACAAGTGTATTGAAGTTCAGGGAGATTACATTGAATAATAAAATGTATTTCAAACCATAAAATCATGTTTTTCTTATCGAACGACAAAACTTATTGAACAACCTGGTATGTTAAACTTAACAGATTGTCCATTGTTTGTTTTCTAACTAATTCGTTTTAGGACCAGGGTCCCCGGAAATTTGCAAAATAAGTCAAAACCGGTTACTTTGTACTCGAATATTTGTAGTCTCAGGAAAAAAGTGGAAAAACAAATTTTTATGACAACAGATACATAAATTGTAAATTTAAGGAATGTAAATTCTATAGCTTTTTCTGTACCTTGTGCATCTCTCTCATTCATTAAATTTAATTGTAAACGATGCTGTCAAAGTAACAGTTAATTTTTTAACATTATACAAGAATTGTACATGTTTTTTTCTATATCCCCTTAAAGATGGGACATACAAAATCATAATATCACTGGTTTAACATTGAAATATGTGAGTAATATAAAATCGGAGAGCGGAATAAAAATATCAAATATTTTAATGGATTTTTTTTTAACTCTTGTCAACTATACAGAACTATCATAAAAACATACCAGTAAATTCCTATCGGTTGGCTTAAGTTATAAATCTACTCGTGATTCACGTAATTGGGCGAGGGCAGCCAAATATCTAGCAAGCAGGTGGCTAACAGCCCAGAACCAGTCCTGGATAGAATTGGATGCAGTATACATGTAGCATCCACCCAAGGTACTAGGCTTCCACCAGCTAAGCCAGCTGAGGTTGGTGCTCTGTAAAGCGCATGCGTGAATCTGGCTTTTTGGATGCTGACAATACAGTGCTTCCACTCTGCCACTAATATTCAAATATACAATAGCAATCTTAATTTTTTTTTCACGTTGTAGTATAGAAATTTGTAATAAGATACATAATGAGGTTATAATAAAATATTGTGCGGTTATTTTCATATAATTAAAATTAATATGTACAGTGGTACCTCGGTATACGTCTGCTTTAGAATACGTCAAATTCGGAATACGTCCTGTTTGGACGAAACAAATTTTTCTCGGTATACGACATAATTCAATTATATACGCCATCTATGAACAAGTAGCACTATCGGTGTACTAGACCAGACTAGACGTTCGCGGTGCAACAGTTTATAACTTTGTTAAATTTCTTCTGATTTTAATTTGTAAGTAAAATTTTATTGTTTTTATTAATCATGAATCCCAAAAAGGCAAATGAAAAGCGACAGAAAACTAAAAAAATGACTAGAATTACAATGGAACTGATAAAAGAGATTGTTGAGAAATACGAAGGTGGCATGTGTGTTCGAGATTTTAACTGTTGCATGCCACATTCCGAGAACGACGATATCAACAATCTCGAAAAATAAAGACATTATTAAATCTGCTAACGTTGTGAAAGGGGTTAAATCAAGTTCTAAACAGAGATTGAAGACATTAGATCATGTTGAGAAATTGCTTTTGCTTGGATAACTGAAAAACAGTGTGCTGGCGACATCCTATCAGAAGCAATTATTTGTGAGAAAGCTAAAAAGATACATGCTGATCTCATGAAAAATCAAGCAGGAACTAGCCAGGAAAGCGAGGTGTTAAGGCCAGCCATTTTTTTTCACATGAGAACGGATTAATCATTTCTACATTACTTCTTATGGGAAAGGTTGGTTTGGTATACGTCCACTTCGGTATAAGTCCAAACACCAGGAA